TTACACGTTATCTGAACAAGTTTTATTCGATGTTTAGGAAGAAAATAATCGATTTTCGATCACTGTTCATCGTCTTCTACCTTCGGTCCATTTTCGGACATATTAATTTTAGTTACTAAACTTCAATTAAACTATATAGAAATGTTCTCCAAGGTTCATAGATCATTTTAAAACCATTAAAACATATTTTTAACATCAAATTCAAGGTTTATGATTCTTGGTTCTTCAAACATGTCAAACACAAAACTCAACCAAATGACCATTTATGAACGTAAAAACAACCTATATGAACATTCTAATCTTTAGATATATCTACGGGCTTACCTCGAAGATTAATGGAGGTTTTGAGAATTTTCCGGCGAAACTTCTGGCGACTCTATCTCACTGCTCCGGCGACCTCACACAAAGATGACAACACCACTGCACTCTACTCTCAGCAAGGAACAATATAGGAGGAAGAATGAATGTTTTTGGTGAGGAATTGAGGGAGTTGAGTTGTGCTTAAATAGGCCAGTGGAGAAGAAGAAGACACAGGCTTGGTTGCTTCCGTGATTGTGCGGCGATTTGGAATCGACGTAATTGAACAGGGCGCCGTTTGGTGTGTAGTCCCTGATTGGGACTAATATTTGGTCCCAGTTAGGGTACACTTTTTGTTCCAACTTTCTCCAAATTGAAATCCGTTTGTACTGTTGCGATCAGACAGTCGAACTCTATCCAACGATATAATTTTTATATTCATTCATTATACTTTTTCCGACACCACATTTTTGGGTGTTTGACTTTAACAGAGTAAAAATTGGTTTAATTGACCTTTCTCATAAAAGGTTCTATCATTTAATTCATATCATTTGTTCTCATGATTTACTTCAATAAATCATTTTAAAGTTCATATTAAAAATAATTTATTTATTTATTCTTGATTTGGGTCTGTACTCATGTTCTCAATCAAGACCACACAAATACTCAACATATTGGATTTATCTCTATGAGACTTATCCTCATTTGTGATATTGGATGTCAAAACACATTTCATTTCGGCCCAAAGCCCAATAACTATTTATTTTAATCGAAACAAATTTGAGTAATTGAATATTTATTCATTAAAAATTTTAGGGTATGTTTTAGGGCGTTACACTATCTGTCTTCCAAAGGGGAAAACAGAGCTATTTCTAGCACAACTGCAGAGGAAAGTTCTTCAGACAATGTCCTTATCATGAGTCTGAACAAATCAGTAAAGAGGAAGCAAGTGGTGTCTCCCTCTCCCAATGCTGAAGCACCACAAAATCTTGCTCCAATCAATCTTGAAGAAGAAGAAGAATTCTCTGACCAAGGAGAACTACAAAGGAAAAAGAAGAGGAAAATCACCTCTCCCTCAACATCTGGATATGTCAATCTGGATGAGTTGAAGGAGAAGGAACCAACTGAGGAAACCTCTGCCCACAACCGGAGTCCTCAACAACTTGAAGAAGAAATTCCTCATGTTCAGAATTCTCCAACCTCCTCACAACCTCAAGTAGATGATGATGAGAATCAATTCTGGCAGCTCTAATATGACTGGAGAGCTTGGAAAGTTGGAAATTCAGCAGAACAGCTGCTGAATTGGGACCAGCAGCTGAAGAATGAGAAGATCATCAAGAAATGCTTAGGTCTGCCAGTCAACTATTGATGTGAGCAAATCGTGGATGTTGACTGGGTATGGCAAAGAAACTATGAAGATTTGCATCTGGAACACTTGGTCACCTCACCAATTTCAGAATTTGAAGTGGATGATGAGGATCCTGCAGTCTACAAACCAGTCTTCTTAAAAACCACAGAAGATCAGGTGGTTCTCACTTCTGAAGCACAGGCTAACATGGAAACAACAGCTGAGGATTTCCAAATATTTCCGGAAACCTCATCTGCCTTTGAAACTGTTCTACCTGAAGCTGCAGTCTCTACTCCACAAAAACAGAACCAGGAAAGATCAAATGAAGAACTCCAGCAACTTCTCCATTCTGAAGCTTTAGAGATTCTCACAAATCCTTGTGAGATCACCAATACTACTGAAACTGAGATCCCGGAGAAGTCAGCAGAAAATCTGGAGATGTCCAAAACTCCAGAAACAAATGAAGCTCGAGAAGAGCAAGCTGTAGAAGCGCAGAGAAGTTCTGCAGAAACTGAGAAGGAAACTCAAATGGCAGAAATGGAGGCCTCCAAATCTCCAGTAGCCATTTTTGAAGGACAGAATGAAGCTGAAGAAAGAGACTCCCTCTCTTTCTTCGGGATATATCAAATTTTACACTTGGGGAAGCAGAAGAAGAATCTGAAAGGACCCTGAAGATCAATGATGAAGAAGATGTACAAGATGATGCTGAATCTCTTCCTATGAAACTCTTCCAAAGAACACCCTCTTCTCATCAGGTAACCAACTTCCATTTTCATAGCTCTTCCATTCCTACTCTTCCGGATGAGGTACCGGAAATCTGGACAAAGAAGGTCCAAGGGTTGATTGAATCAGCCCTAGCATCTCAACATGCCTCCTTTAGGCAAGAGATAGAGCAGATGGAAGCCAGGCACAACAAACTGATTGAGAAATCCGAAGAGACACACTGCTCCAATCTCAAGGAGATAAGCAAATCAGTGGATAAAACTCTAGAGATCTTATCTCTATTGAGTAACACTGTGAGCAACACGATGGAGACATATGCATCTGACAACTATCTTCAACTCAAAGAGGTTAGCAAAATCAGAGAGCAAATAGCAAATGTCACAGTCAGTCTACAAAAACAAATGTCCATTCTCCAAATGGACATCAGAGCCGCTCTGGCAGTATCTTTAGCAAATCAAGTAGTAACCAAAGACTACTTGAAGGTAATCATTGACAATCAGAAGGAAGCACACAAACTATTCAGACTTCTTACCACAAATTCTGGAAATCGCAAGTTGAAAGTGGTTCTTCAACAACACAGTCCATCCTTGATTCCAGAGCTCCCCATTGCAGTCAAAGAAGGAGAAGTCTCTTACATTCCTACGCATCTAAACTTGACTGATCTAGTCCTTGAAGCTCAGAGAAGCAATCCGGAAAACTCAACACAGCGCTTATCCAGCTTCGGATTGGATGGAACAGAGGCTGTAGGAACAATTGCTGCTCACTTCTCAAATGAAAATCAAACGGAGGAGAGACGCAACAACATATGGCGCATCAAAGAACTATGTGGAAACATGCAAGGCATCAGGGAGATTTCCGAATCTTCAAAGCGCAAGAAGCACTGAAGGTTTCTTTTTTCATCAAACCAAGGGGGAAAAGTATGTGAAAACATTAATTTGCTTTGATGAAAACACCTTCTTGTTTAAACATTGCTTTATTGGTTTAAACATTGCCTTAATATTTCTCTTAATTGTGCTTACTATGCTTGATTATACCTAATTCAAGTATGTTTTTGAGATTTATTCCTAGCGCATACATTCAGGGGAAATGTAATTCAGGGGGAACTTAACTAGTTTTTGGCTAACAATTGTTTTTGGCAATGAATTATTGATAAGCTCTAAGCAATGGAAGATGGATATCTCAGTTTTGGTACTAAAATTGGAAATCTCCGATTCAGGTACTTTACAAAATCTGCCTTCTTAAACTAAGCTTCAGTCCTTAATTCATTTCCAACAAGCTCTAAAAGTACTGGTCCTTGGGATTTTTAAAATGTACAGGACTTTGGAAAAATAGTACCACTTTTCTTTTAAAAATAAAGTTCATATTTGTTTTGGTACTACCTCGTCCTAAGTAGAAATTAGAACTATAGGGAATGAAAAATGATAGTTTTATTTTGGGCCTTGAGAACCCAATAGGAATAATTTCCCTTTAGTACATAGCTTTCTTTTCTTTTTGGGCCACTCTTTTGGGATTAGCCAAACTAAAACATTTATGGTTCTCAAACCAAACGAAACTGATTTTCAAATTGGAACAGTTTCAATTCATTGGTAATTGGTAAAAGATTCCTTCCACTTTTCAACTTCTTGGAAGTTGAAACTCTTTTACTCTCACCGTTCCATCTACCCAATTAATGAAACCCATGAACCTCCCCTCTCTCTACCTCCTCTCTTATTTAAATCAAGATATCTCAATCCATTCCTAGCACAAACAGCTCTTTCAATATGAAAAGTCTTCAAACTCACTGTCTAAGAAACACACCAAGAAAAATATCCTCAATGGAGAAATTTTTCTTTCTCACCCTCATAGACGGCAATGGAAGAAGCCTATTGAGAAGAAAAGACTTTCAAGGTCTATGGTGAGAATCTCGGCAGTGGAGAAGGTGTATGGTGAAAATCTCGTATTTTTCAGGATTACACCATACACCTTCTCTGGAACAACACTCTCTCTATCTTTCTTCTTATTTTGAGAGATGTGTTGCTTCCAAGATCTTAAATATCCACTTTGGATATTAAAGATCTATCAAACGCAATGCCAACCGCTCTGCCAAGCAGAATCTGCTGAAGCTGAAAACGGTCAATGGCGGAAGAGATCACAAAATCTCAAGACAAGACTTGGTTTAGGAATTATTGTAATTTGAATTGTATTTGTTTAAGAGTTTGTGTTAACAAGCTGTATATTATGAGAAACTAAAAGAAAGTTACAAAATTAGTTCTCAGTACAGCGACCGGAACTCTTAAACACTTGTTTGTCATCATCAAAAAGGGGGAAATTGTTGGGAAAAATATCATAGATTTTGATGATGATGTATTTAGAATGTAATAGGGACTTTAGGTCTCCCCAGATATTCAATGTAATTTTTCCTTTTAGAAATATTGTTAAAACCAAGTTCTTGAGATTTCCAATAAAGTGTTGATATTTCATTAAGCGGTTTGATGCCTGAAGACATAATCAAATTCAGAAATTTGGAAATTGGATATCTTGATCGGAAATGTCAGAGACAAGTAAGGATCTCTCAAAGCAGACGAAAATCCTCCTATCCGGAATACTACATGAGAACCGGATGTCTCGTTACAACCTGCTGAAGGCTAAGTCGAAAGACTAGCGCGGATTTCTTTCTCACCTGGAAGACTGAGTATGACTCTTCCGGATTTGTCAGCTAAGAACCGGATGCCTCAAGGAAGACCGGAATTTTCAAAAAGCAGACAAGTGAGAAAAGACTTAGAAAATTATCTAAGTCTTGAATGAAGAAATTCTACCCGTTGGTAAGGAAAAATCAATCTCTTGATTTTCAACGGCTAGATTGAAGATAATTATGCTGATTCAAGAACAAATGACTCGAAGACAAAGTTTGGACCTCTAAAAATTGAAGAACCTGTCCAGAATTCCTAAACAAGCACTAGAAGACAAACAGAGTAAAGTGCTACAGTTTAGAATTCTTGAACAACTAGAAGACGGATTCTATGGAAAAAGGAATCCCTCCTTTAACAAAAGGGTATGTCCAAACACCCATTCCAATGTGGAATCTTAAAATCACAATCTTCATTCAAAATTGAAGCCAGCAAATGCAACGGATAGTCTAATTTGATTCAACGGAGAGATTATCCAATCCAGCTATAAATAGCATCCTTGGAAGACTGGGGAAGAAGAGAACAACGACAACAATAAAATAAACAACCACAAAGAGGCTAGCTCTTTCACAATTAGCCCAAAAAGATTGATAAAGAGAGATTTCTAAACTCCTTATCTAGAAGCAAACTTCTCCTCCTTCCAGAGAGCTATAGTGTAAACACTTGAAGGTTTCCTTGCCTCAAGTACCACACCACGTTGAAGGATACAACTTTTGATCAAACTTACTGATTGAAAGGGGGTAGGTCAACTTTCTTACAAGTTGGTCTTGCAAGTCCTATTGCTCGGACCTTGCAGTTGTTGAAGAAGCGTGACCTTCGAAGGAACAACAAAGCCAGCACGAGTGCAGTAGCACCATTGGCCTTGCGAAGATATACCGTGCAGAAATTCACACAAGTGTAATTGTTGGTTCATTATTCAACAACCAACTACATAGTGGATTTTGAGGACGTAGAAGGATTACCCCACCTTCGAACCTCGTTAAAGTTTGCGTGTCTCTCTCTTTTATCTTTATTCTTACTTGCAATTATATTAACTGAGAAAACTAACCCATCCATATTGATTATTGCTCACTCTACCCACCAACTTCCGTACATAATCTAAAGTTCACAAGAACTCTAGATTAACACTCATTTTCACGTTTTCAAAAGAAACAAAAAAGTTTTTAAATTTGTAACAAATTCTATTCACCCCCCTCTAGACTTTGTATCTCACAACTTCAGGACCACCAGATAACCTACAAAACGCTAAGGGATAATGGTGCAGAATTGTTCCTTGGGGATCGCATCGGCGAACCCCAAATTGCATGGGACTGGATCGAGCAGACTGCTAGAGTGTTGGAGGATCTCAACGTACCCATGGACAACTATCCTCGACTGGCTTCTCGACTGCTACGCAAGGAAGCCTACGAGTGGTGGAAGAGGACCGATGAAAGTGCAGGAACCCCTAAGCCGTGGACATGGGCACATTTTGAATGGGCATTCAACCAAGAATATATTCCGAAACGTTTTAGCGAAGAAAGACGTAAGGAATTTGTCAAACTGGAACAGGGAGACATGACACTCCCTGAATACCATCAACCTTGGTGAGTACCCCAACCGACCGCATTGAAGAGTTCAAGAAGAAACTTCAGCCTGACCTCAGGTCGCGTGTGTCCGTCCTTACCACTGTGGATTTCTCGGAATCCTACGATCTCATAGCCAGGGCAGACAGTGACTTGAGTGCTTGCATTGAGTATCTGAAGGCAAACAATGCCAGTTCAAGCACTCATCGTCCCATCAGCTCTGCCTCAAAAGGGAAAAGGCCATTCCAGGAGTCTAGCAGTTCGCACTTCTCAAAGAAAGGGAAATCGATGCAAACACACTCTGCAGCATCGGAGAACAAATCAAAAGGGTGGAAACACCCAATGTGTGACAAATGCGGAAGACACCACCCTGGGGAGTGTTGGTTTACTCAAGGGTTATGTCTCGACTGTGAAAAGCCTGGACATTTCCGAAAGAACTGCCCTACGAATCCCGGTGAACCATTTCCACCTGCCCCCATTGCTAACCAGTCAGCATCAGCACGACCTGCACCAAGTCAACGGTAAACTGCGGGATCTAATCCTGCCAAAAGTCAAAACCAACAGCAAGGACGAGCTCCTGCTTGTACCTATGCCATGAAGGCTCGAGCTAAGGAAAACCCTGACGTCATTCAGGGTATGTTTTCCTTATTTGATACTGACATACATGTGTTGATAGATTCCTTGCCAATCTTGTTGAATTACCGTACAAGGAATTCGATATCATCCTTGGAATGGATTGGCTCATCGAGCACCAAGCAGTTATTGATTGCCGACGACGAATGATTCAACTGAAAACTAAAGAGGGAAATTCTATTTAGGTGAAAGAAAAGTTAACTCCTAAACCAACTGAGTTCATCTCGTACATACACGCGAGACGTCTCATTCGAAAGAAATGTGAGGCTTATCTATGTAATGTACATGACACACGAAAGGAAACTTCTGAATTAAAGGACATATTGACAGTATGTAATTTTCCTGACGTATTTCCTGACGAACTTCCTAGTATACCATCTTCCAGAGAAGTAGAATTTTCCATCGATCTTATTCTTGGAACAGGACCGATATCTGCAACTCCCTATCGCATGGCTCCTGCTGAAATGAAAGAGTTGAAGGCTCAACTACAAGAACTACTCGATAAAGGATTCATACGTCCGAGTGTTTCCCCTTGGGGATTACCGTCAATTGAACAAAGTCACAATAAAAAATAAATATCCTTTACCTCGTATCGATGACTTATTTGATCAGCTTAGCGGATCTACTGTATTCTCTAAGATTGACTTACGGTCAGGATACCATCAAATCCCTGTAAAGAAAGAGGACATCCCAAAGACTGCGTTCCGTACTCGTTATGGTCATTATGAGTTTACGGTAATGCCCTTTGGTTTGACCAATGCTCCAGCAGTATTCATGGATCTCATGAATAGTGTATTCCAACCTTTTCTTGATCAATTCGTGGTTGTATTCATTGATGATATTCTTGTCTATTCGAAGAATCGAGAAGACCATGCGAAACATTTGGAGATAGTACTCAGCGTACTACGAGAACATAAACTATATGCCAAACTGTCAAAGTGTGAATTTTGGCTTGATGAAGTTACGTTTTTGGGACATGTGATTTCTCAAGAAGGTGTTAAGGTAGACCCCATTAAAAAATCTTCCATTACCGAGTGGAAGGTTTCAAGGAATGTTCGTGAAGTGAGAAGCTTTCTTGGATTAGCTGGATACTATCGACGATTCGTTGGGGGCTTTTCCTCGATCGCAACTCCAGTTAACAAACTTCTGAGAAAAGATGTGAAATTTGTATGGACCGATGCATGTCAGCAAAGTTTTGAGAAACTAAAGAAATGTGTGACAGAAGCACCTGTGCTGACCCAACCAGTACCAGGTGTAGACTACACAATCTTTAGTGACGCATCTCATAATGACTTGGGATGTGTACTCATGCAAGACGGAAAAGTCGTGGCATACGCATCAAGACAGTTGAAACCTCACGAATGTAATTATCCTACTCACGATCTTGAGTTAGCAGCAGTTGTATTTGCTCTGAAAATATGGCGTCATTATCTCTTTGGAGAGACGACATATATTCACACAGATCACAAAAGTCTAAAATACCTGCTAACTCAAAAAGAATTGAACCTGAGACAGAGAAGATGGTTGGAATTGATCAAAGACTACGACTTCTACATTGACTATCACCCTGGAAAGGCTAACGTAGTTGCTGACGCATTGAGCCGAAAGATGATAGCCGAACTCCGAGTTCAACCTACTCTTGAGAACGAAATTCATGCTGCACAAAAACGTGATGATTACTGTTTGAAGACATGTGAACTTGTCTCTAAGGGGGAGAGACAAGATTTCACGGTGAAGGATGGAATTTTATTCCCAACAAGGATCGTTTGGTAGTTCCTAGTGGCGAAGTGAGGGAACGTTTAATGCGTGAATCTCACGAAACCACTTATACCATGCATCCTGGTAGTAATAAAATGTTTCAAGATCTGAAGAAGACTTATTGGTGGCCCACAATGAAGCGAGAAATTTCTGAATTTACAACACGATGCCTCACGTGTCAACAAGTTAAGGCTGAACACCAAGTGCCAAGTGGGTTATTACATCCACCTACTATTCCGGAATGGAAGTGGGAACGAATTACGATGGACTTCGTAATCGGACTTCCATTATCAGCCAAGAATAATGACGCTGTTTGGGTAATAGTTGACCGATTAACCAAGTCATCTCATTTTATCCCAATTCGACGTGATATGTCTTTGAAGAAATTGGCAGAATTGTACATCCGTGAGATCGTAAGATTACATGGTGTACCTTTTTCTATCATTTCTGATCGTGACCCGCGATTCACGTCGCAATTCTGGAAGAGTTTGCAGAAAGCCTTAGGTACTAAACTTAACTTTAGTACAGCATTTCATCCTCAAACTGACGGAAAATCTGAAAGGACAATTTAAATTCTTGAAGATATGATGAGAGCATGTGTAATTGATTTTGGAAGCAACTGGGAACAATACTTACCGTTAATGGAGTTCCCGTATAACAACAGTTATCAAGTGAGTATCCAAATGGCCCCGTACGAAGCCTTGTATGGGAGACGCTGTAGAACCCCAGTATGCTGGACAGAATTAAGCGAGCAAAAGCTTGAAGGACCTGATCTCGTTCGCGAAACTGAAGAGAAGGTTCGTCTAATCAGAGAAAGACTGCAGGTGGCTTCCGATCGACAAAAATCTTATGCCGACTTAAAACGTCGGGAGATCGAATATAATGTTGATGACAAGGTGTTTCTGAAAGTCTCACCGTGGAAGAAAGTGTTACGGTTCGGTAGAAAGGGAAAACTAAGTCCGAGATATATTGGACCCTATCAAATTACTGAACGTGTGGGTCCAGTAGCCTATCGGTTAGAACTTCCACCAGAACTGAACAAGATCCATGACGTATTCCATGTATCGATGTTGAAAAGATACCGTTCCGATCCATCGCATATCTTGACTGAGGGAATTGTAACTCTTGACAAACAATTGACTTATGAGGAGGAACGTGTACAAATTTTAGCACGAGAGGTCAAACAATTGAGAAACAAATCTGTACCCTTAGTCAAAGTACTATGGAGGAATCACTCGACTGAAGAGGCAACATGGGAAACCGAAGAGTCAATGAGAATGCAATATCCGAATCTCTTCAACCAATGACTCAGGTAATTTCGAGGACAAAATTATTTTTAAGGGGGAGAGAAATGTAACGCCCCGAAAATAGGCCTATCAGAATTAATTAATTGATAATTAATTAATTAATGAGAAGGATCCAAAAATAAGTAAATCCTAAAGTTTGTCAATAATTAAATAAAAATTATATCGTTGTGTAGAGTTTGACTGTCTGACCCCAACGGTTCAATCGGATTTCAATTTGGACAAAGTTGGACCAAAAAGTATACCCCGACTAGGACCAAATATTAGTCCCAATCAGGGACTACGTACCAAACGGAGCCCTGTTCAATTACGCCGATTCCAAAATCCGAATCACCGTGCAATCAAGGAAGCTGCAAACTCCCTGTCTTCCTCCTCCTTCACTTGGCTATTTAAGGAGAGCGAATTCCTCCATTTCTTCACCAAAACAACTCATTCTTCCTTCTATATTGTTCCTTGCTGAGAGTAGAGTGCAGTGGTGCTGTCATCTTTGTGTGAGGTTGCCGGAGCAGTAAGATAGAGTCGTCGGAAGTTTCGCCGGAAAATCGTCAAAACCTCCCTTACGCTTCAAGGTAAGCCCGTAGATATATCTAAAGACTAGAATGTTCATGTAGGTTGTTTTTACGTTCATAAATAGTCGTTTGGTTGAGTTTTGTGTTGGACATGTTTGAAGAACCAAGAATTATAAACCTTGAATTTGATGTTAAAAATATGTTTTAATGATTCTAAAATGATCTATGAACCTAGGAGAACATTCTATATAATTTAATTGAAGTTTGGTGTTTTAAAACCATAATACTCGAAACTGACTAGAGGAAGAAGATGATAACAGTAGCCGAAAATCGATTATATTCTTCCTAAAAATCGATTAAAACTTTATTCAGACGAGGTACCAAGAAATTAGATTTTAATCAATTATTTATGAAACAAAAATCGATTTTAGTTGTTTAATCGATTATTTTTAAATCAATAATCAATTTATTTGATTTAATGGATTATTTTAAAAGCAAAAATCGATTTTTATGATTAATGGATTATTAAAATTTAAATAATCGATTTTCCTCAATCAGTTCAATTCCTGTTCCGAAAATATTTCTGGAAATGTTGCTTATAATCATATTTTTGATACCAATTGATTATGATCATTATAAAAATGATTTTTATAGTAAAAATAATGTTTTGAACAAAAAAAAATATTATGTGATGCATGACGGTAAGTTTGGGTGTTAGCACTCGAGACTAGACCGCTGTTTATTATCAAATGTTATGTTGATTAATGATTATGATGAATAATTATTATAATTATGACTTGATCAAACCATTGATTAAAATGTATATTGAAGATTAAATTATGAATTGAAATGAAAATATTGATGATTATGAAATTATTTGGATTGTAAGGATATCTAGAAGAACTCTAAGATATATTGATATTGGTTTCTAATACTATCTAGAAGACCTCTAAGATAGATTAGAAATAGGCCTTTCGGGTATGATGCCCGGTGGCTAGGGTTAAAACGTACGTACGGGATCCAAGAACCAAACTCGAGTACCTACTCGTTTGGGGGTACCACCCAACCCAACAGTGAACACCACGCTGTCGGTTTTTGGTTGTGAAAGGTAACCATGCAAGGATAGGCAGCGGAATATAAAAATTTTAACATCCTAACATGATTATCTTGCCCAGAATCACGTACTAAAACTCATAGTAGTAAGAAATTTGTACCTTTCTCCGTAAGCGGTAAAAACGAACAAGTCGTAGGAAGAGCATTGAAAGTGAAAACGTAACCGTTCAAGCGTCCGGTCTCCAACTTTGACACACGAACAACGCTGGAGTCTACCACAATATTTATGCTAGTAAAGATTATAGTAGTATAAACTATAAAGATTAAAATTGGGATAATAATAATCTTGTATATTTCTATAGAAAATATTTCTAATAATATTTAGAAAATATTATAGATATTTTCTATACACAAAATGATATTAATGGAACACAAAAGAATTTTTCTTTCTCTAGAAAAATTATGGCCGAATGACACACCAACTAAATGATAATCTTCACCCTATATTTATTTCATGTGCCGTGTAACCATTTAAAAAGAAAACAAAAGATTACAAATTGATTAATCATACTTTGTCATTAAGCAAAATGTTAAAACACTATTAGCTCCACTAAAGAATCAATCAAGAAGAGAAATTGATTCAATAATCT